GTAAATTATTTTGGCAATAAATTTTATATATACATATTTTTAATATCTCAACTAAATGCTGGTGTCTGTCACGGGCCGATGCCAAGCATTGCTCTATGAGGGTAATAGCGTTATCGTGTAAATTATTTCTACTAAGAGATGATTGTGTGTCTGATGTATTTGCTTTACTGCCAGACTGTAAAAAAATCTTACTATTCTGCAGGTGTTAAAAAAAGCGGCTCTTTAGAGGCTTTCATATGTATGAGGGAGTAACTAATGTTTTTATTGTTTTACTAAAACAGTACCGATATACATACCAAATATTGTATATTATGATTACGTAATAGGTATTGGTTTGTGACCACGGCAAGTGCAACCTTGTCAGATCAGGTCAGATTGAAAGAGATATGCTACTTAAAAATAAAAATTGGAAGAGCCATCTTGGTACAAATAGGCTGGCTGGATGTGGTGTACAGTGAATCGGTGTTAAGCAATTCTTTCGTTGATTATTACAAAACGAGCGAAGTTACTGGAGCCCATACCTCCCAATTGATTCTGGGGGAAGACTCAAAGGGCCATAAGCGGCGGTAGTTACTTACCATCAATAACCTGCCAGCTCGTTTGCCCCCTGTACCATAAATAAAACAAGTGGCAAGAGTAATCTCTTTAAGAACATTATATAAAATAACATTTAGAGTCAGATATTATAGGATAAACTAAATATGAATCAACATTTAGTAATATGTTTCAGTCGAACTTTAAATTTAGCAGCAGGGTTTAACATAACCCTATGATCAGTTACTACTGAGCCCCAGTGATCATCCAGTTACCCGATGTTATCATAATCATGTCAGCCAGATTATTGTTGATGATCTGGTATTTGCACGATAATACCGCCATCGCATTTATGAAAATACCATGTCAGGATATGTTATGTTCTTTGGTTTTACCGTAACCTTTTATTATTAGTCTTGTTTTAATGCATAATTTAATAGGCTAAAATATACAACATCAATTAAAATAATAATAAGATCACGAACAAATTCTGAAATATTTAGCAGACCGTATTCCTAATTACATATGAAGTAACAAAAAGTTTTAGCAAAAAAATACAGCTATTTGCAAACAACTTTAAAGAACCAGGTGTCGTATCGCACAGCACAAGCCACGATTGAAATAAAAAAAAACGCCATTTGCCAGGGAAACGTAGGGGTTGTCGTATTGCAGAGAGCCCATTTCAAAATGACCGGCTTATGCCGTTCGATGGAATGACACTGGCAGTCTTTCATACCACGGGTGACGCACTAGACCTCGGCCTGAGAGAGATGTACATGTTTAGCTGTCCCTTTAGGAGAAGCAGGCCCGAGATGTGTTCTGCACAGTTTCAGATACAGTCTCCACTTCTCCAACTTTGTGTCCCTATTGTCTAATAGGGGCACAAAGTTGCCATGGGCCATGTCTTTCGGATAAATACATTTCGGTTTGGTTTTACAATAAGAGAGTATTTATTGTAAATGTAGAGCACTATGGTCAAATAAACATACAAGTAAAACCAGCACTACTCGTTGTTCCAACATCTTAATCGTGGCACTGCGTCAGCGTTCCCACATTTGTATCAAGTGGGCAAATAAAGAAGGAAACAAGTTAGATAGAGTGGAGCCGGACCGCGTTCGCGACTAATTAACCCTCCCGAGCGGGGTGGGAACGACCCACGGGTGGCAGTGGGCGGTTAAAAAATATGCGGCTCCCGCGAGACGCGATGCGATGCCTCGAAGAATTTCCACTTTCCGACTGCAGCTGTATTTTCGCATGGTTTCCTTTGCCTTTTGTTTTTTAATTGTTGAATTAAAAACGTTTTACCCTAGTTTCGGTTATTAGGGAAATTCACTAGTCTTAGTTTTTATTATTTTAGTTTTTATTATCTATTATACCTACGCATTATATGACAACGTTCTGAATTTGTAGGTTTTTAAATAAAATTATGTTCAATTATTTCAATAAAACTGATTATAAGTATTTTTGAATCGTTAAGTTAGTATGAAATTCTATTGTAAATACAAGGTACAACTCACAAAATTCTATACAGTAGGAAGTCGCTTAAACCCCTACGTTATACGTGCAATCATCCTTGAAGTCATATTGAAATACTCGTACATATTATTTCTAATTACTACCAAATATGTAAATATACCAATTTAAACAGTGCACGCGCCCTGTGTCCATGTCAAAAATCGTGAGGGCGAGAGGGTCGGTCGCTACGTCCTCCGTCCTCCCGAGGGTCAACAAGGTTGAGTGCACCAGTGGAGAAAAAGAAGGGACTAATGTGATCATACACTTCTTACATTTTATTATACATACAAACTTATTCATTATAAGTCATTAATAAATTACGAAAACGACCCGTTAGCCCCACCACTGCCGCCAGTCAACTTGATATACCCATATAAACTCTGATAAAAAAGATATTACACTATACTTGTGTTTCAATTATTAGTTAGATAATCGATAACTATAATTGTTCTGCACAAGCCATAGATGGCAACTATGTATACTTATAAATTCTTTCTAAATGTCTTTGAAGACACCGACCAAAATTTATTCGTGGAAATTATTAGTTGGGGAAAATAGTGCTTTATATTTTGGCATCGAAAGTTGATTTTCATTTGAAAATCTTGTTCGACTTAGTCATTTATTGCACTACTAATTAATCTGAGATGTGGTACAGATTTAAGATTACATACTTTTCGATTTCTTCTTCTTCTTTATACTTCTATCTCTCTTGTTTCACGTATGGCGTTAAATGACCTTTTACCAAGAGTGCAAAAAAAGATATAGAATACTTACATCCAGAAGAAAGTTGCCATCCGATAAGATAGGGAAGTTCATAGCAAATATACAAAATGCTAGAACACCTAGAACTATCAAAACTTAGAGAACACTCTGTATCTTATCGACGAAATAACCAACTCGTGTCGATCGCATCATCGGTCCATGGACTGTATATATTAGAACGGGCACGTGTCTGTGAAGCTATAAATATCCGATATCGATACAAGCACGTGCATTATTGGTCCTTTTTGCAGATAAACTGACCGCCTAGGGCCCGTGTTATTAAAAGCTCCACGCGGTGTCTTCTCTAAAAGTTTTACACAAGTTTTGAGAAGTCGTATGAAAAGTTTCAAAACTAGTTTCAAACTAGTAAATAATCTGTTGGATGCTGGCAGCACGCAGCAATGGACGTCTAGCGGCTAAAACGATGATGAAATAATCTTTGTGTCTCTTTTCTTTGGATACCTTTTTTTTTCTTAAAATTTGGATGGGACTAAACAGGAAGTATACCCTCAATAAATGACGAAATTTAAAATTCAAATATAATACTGTCGAAACTTTTTTTTTAAAGACAACTCCCGCATTAAGAATATATCCTGTGTCGCGGGGGACTTTACACCCAGACTAAGAACAACAATTTGTGGATCACAAAAAGTGGAGATCGAACCCACAACACTCAGCGTAGTAGTAAGTGGCGTGGCGACCGCTTAAACCACTACGCCATCCGTGCAGTCAATTGAGAACCTCCTACTTTCCAAGGTTGGATAATTATAAAGGCAGAGCACACTAGAACACTACTTCTATGTTTGGTTACCTGAGGTTACCTTAGCATAAACCCACCCCTCCACCTGATTCTGAGGGGGACTCAACTTGTGACTAGAGTTGCAGGTGTCCATAGGGGACGGTAGTCACTTACTATCAGTTCACCCGTCTGCTCGCTTGCCACCCTATACCGTTAATTTCTTAAAAGAAAAATAATTACAATTTTATCAATTTTATTTAGGTTGCTTTATGTAGGTGTGAAATATCTATCTATAGACATTGTCACCAGGGGTAATGTTTTTACGAGCCAGACTTACACTTTGTATAGATAAGTTCAGTTCACCTGCTACGATGAAAAGAAAAATATCTCTCGAAAAACAGTACGCGAACGTAGAGGCGGCGTGTTGTTTTTTTCGCGCGCTCCGAGCGCCTCTGTGTTTTTATTTGTACAACACGAACGCTGGAACGCTTAAACGATACAAAGTACAGTTTTGCATTTTTTTAGATTTTGCTATTTGACTACATTGAAGGTTTTCATAGTAATAATGTATAACGTTATAATATTCAAAGTACAGAATGTATCGTATTCGTGAATAGTATTAAAATTAAATTACATTTACATTAAATCACAAAAAATACCTTCCTATTGACACTATTTTATACCAGTAATTTTGATTCAATTATTACTATTTTTCGGTCTAACTTAAAATTACTACTATTCGATAGGAAAAAAAAAATATACCATAACTGAATTTTAATTACTAACTTCAAACAGGACTTGTCATTGGTCATAATACGATTGATATTACCGTCATTTATCAGCACTTTTTTCCACATATGGCAACAAATTTAAATAACAACCTGATCGCTTCTTTCTTGATAATATGTGTCTGTTCAATTGACAATGAGCCCTATAACATGCCAAACGAACGATAGAACTCCAACTATTTCGGCACTCGTCACATGCTCGCACAAAACAACATGCTCCACCCTTTTTTAAGTGCGGGTCGTTCGATTTACGAGCAAGTTTACGATTATGTCAAGCTCTGTTAACACGCGCCGCAGGTGCGCCCTTTTCGACAGATTAGTTTTAATCCTCCTACAATTTTCCAAGTATACAACACTTACATATGTCCCTCACTGGGCGACGCTAAACAGAGGGTTTTAATGATAGACGCGGTATTGTCAAGTAATTTACTTTAAATGTTGATATTAAAAAATTAAAACATTCATTCTGGACTTTAAGATTTGCATTTGATGCATTTGATGATTCAGGCAAAACAATTTATTTAAACGTGGGAATTCACCATATTAAAGATAACCAAGAATAAATTTCGATGTTCGAATCCCACTTAGGTAATTTGAATTTTTTTATTAGCAATACTCATTCAACTCAAATCAGTGCGATGCGTGACCTGGTCAGTGGACCTTCACCACTTTGCTCGCGCCGGAAGCGCGCCCACCCGCTGCGCTCGCGCACCGCTGGGTGTCACGCAGCGGACGTGACTCTTGGGCCACGCGGGCGGTGGCAAAGGGGAAGGGAAGGATGTGGTCACGCATATTCGCGCGCGAGATAGTATCGAGTAGCCGCCGGGGAGCGTACCCTCACGCGAGCTCACGAAGAAACCGCGACGTGATGGTGCTGAATTTTTCAGCCGATGAAAGTTATCGATAAAGATAAATTGATTGATTAGAACACTATTTCGAGAGCACATAATTACGCACGTTGGTAATGACCGTTCACGTTTTTATATTAAGACTAGCTGACCCGCGCAACTCCAAAAAGTCGTATCTACGTCTCCAAAAAGGAATAAATTTTCCCCGTTTTTTACAACATATTTCATTGATGCTCGACTCCTAAGGACCGTTGCAAACCATTTATCGTTGAAGGCTATATATAATCATATATAGCCTTCAACGATAAATGGTTTGTCCGATACTAAAAGATTTTTCAATTCGACACTTCAAAACAAACAAACTCTTCAACTTTATAATGTTAGTACAGATATGTTCGTATTAGTCTTGACGAAATTAGTAATATCGTTTATTTATACGAGTAAGTCAACGTCCTCATTGGTACTAAGGACTAAGTCAAGGCCTCTAATTCTGCGATCATAGCAAAGGCGTAATGGGTAAGGCGTCGGACTTACGGCGTAGTTCGCAGGGTCGCTCGTCGGTCGGACCCAACAATACGCTGCCACCATAAAACTATTCGTATCTACGTGTAGTGTGTCTATTACGATATAGGCAAAAGCAACAAGGGGTTAACAAGCAGATGGGTCACCTGATAATGTGGTGTAATTCAAGAGACACAATTGCCGCCCACACCCTGTATTAGAGTGAGTAAGTGTAGTAAGTGAGTAACCCTCGCGGGTTGGACCTTAGATAACCTGACTCACTCGGTGAAAATCAACGAAAGAATTGCTTAACACCAGGTTTGTGTGACACCGTGATATCACTCCATTGGGGTCAGCCCGTATGTGACTAAGCATGGCCCTCAAACACAAAAAACAAACAAATTCTTCTATTTGCAATCGATTTGTCATCCAAAGGTTACCTGTCAGAAATTTATTTTTAGCGATAATGCTGCCAGTTGTACATGCTTATTCATTTCATGTACTCTTTTAAAAAAGAAAACAAGAATATTCTATTTAATTTAACAAACACTCAAATCTGTGTAGTACATAGATAGTTAACAATACTCTGTCACCATCTGTAAATATAACAGTCATAGAGAGACAATGATCCTGTTAAAAAAAAATCTCGACAGTAAAAACATCGAAATGGGTACAGCACTAGCGGATGCACAATTGCGCGAGCGCCTCCGAGGCACGTCCTTTAGGCCCGTCGCGGCTGATAGGTACCTGTGGTGTTTACGGTACCGCGACGGTTGGTACCAGTTTTAGTGTCGCACATTCGCTCATTGTAATGCTAGGCTCACCTGTTAGCCTATCTTGTGAACGAGACGACTGCTAATCTTATGGGACATTTACTTAAGATCGGAAGGGGGAGGCTAGAAAGTAAATGATAGGTAGGGAAGACAGTGGCTCTAAGCTATCCCTTCATGGGATAGCTTAGAACCACTGACAACATGAAGAGTCCCTGTCAAACCCGCTTTAAGCTAGGAAATTAGTAGTCTCTACAGAAAACAAGAGTGGGCACTTCAAATATATTTGTAGATTGAACAGGCTTTAACAAGTTTAAAACTTGTTCAACACATAAAACTAAGTGATAATAAACTTCATAACATTATCTTTCCTCTCGCTCTTCTGAAATCTGTAGGTATTTCGTGAAAAGATACCTAAGTGTGTGTCAGAATCGAACCAACTGAAACCACACGGTATGCCACTCTGCGCTTGAAGAAGGAGGGATCTGGGAACAGCTGTAATTAATACATCCGGACCAGCAGTCTGTATACTATAGCACAGGCTCTGCCTAGTTTAAGATCAGACGGTCTTGTGTGAGATGTGCGAGGTTATTATTATTTATTACTAGATATTATTGCTTGTTACCGAGGTAAGATGTCCGTTGTTAAACATCATTTGCGACTAGTGTAAGGGTACATCGGTTTTTTCATTACATTCTTTACGTGTATAGAATAATAACAGTTTAGGAAATGATGTGTGTGGGTGTGTTACCTATGACTCTTTGGGATATTTAAATGAAAGGTATACACGTGTTCACGTAAACTGGTTTTATTCTCGACTCCTCTACGGCGGGCGCAGTCGCCTCTAGACAAGTATATTTTTGCTTACGCTACATGAACACTTACATATTTTTTTATTTTTTTTTACGTGTGAAAGGAAAGTAAGTAGGTAAGATACGTTGTGTCCCTACAAACAGTAAGAGCAAGGAATCTAGCCTTTATTTTAGTTATAAACCCGAAATAAAATATAAATTGGGGAATTAAAAAGTTCGCTCAACGCAGAGGGCAAAGAGCTCAAGTACAAGTAACTCTGACAGACGCGCCGACAGATTAGGTCGTGGAATTTCGAAATCAAACTCTAACCGACAGGTAGATAAATTGTTAGACTAACTATATGAATATTTTATATAAATTATTTACAAGGTCTTAACGCTGAATTTGAATATATTTATAAAGTTCATGTTCTCATATACTGTTTGTTTGTATTATGGCATTAATTAACCAAACAACTAGTTCTAAATACTTACACATATGTTGGCTTGTCTAGAATTTCATAAACCTCCTTTGTTCCAAATAATATATACATATTGTTTTATTCTACTGTGTGAAAATAACAAGACGGTAACCTCATTGTACAGGAAACGTGGGTCTTGGTACCTATATAGATTATAGAAATAAGACCCATTTTCTTTTTTCATGCCCATATCTTGGCCTATTGTCCGTTGCTTATTGCTGCTATTAAATTATGCTTTTAATACTTTATCTTAAAATTATGTTATAAATATTACCTCGATTTATCCTCCTTTTAGTGGTAATCGTTTACTTCTCGTTAACTTCTCTTCTTATCAACTTTTCCTTTACAGTATACCTACAATTTTCCATTCTTTTTAATTCTAAAGTACTTGGTGGCCGATTTGCCCCTTTTTCATAAGTAAATCGAAAACGACAGTAGGCAAAAAGTGAATATTTAATTTGTCAGCCTAGCCCTAACCGTGAGTGTAAATCTATGGCGACAACGAACAGAACAAGTAGTAAAAATGACTGGACTGTTGTACATTGCGAAATAAAGAAAATTATCTTTGGTTTAGGCGAAGTTCTATCCCCAGCTACTAGACTAAATGCTAGAAGTGGGTTCAGGTGCGCTTCGGGAGCTATATTCTCGGCTCTGTTGTCTACCGCTAAGCTATTCTACATAGGTAACGGAAATAATTTACTCCGGTAGAATTAACTTGGCTTTAGAATGTAAAATGGTTTAACTCTCAATTAAACTGAAAAGTGTCATGTTCGGCATTGTCGAACCAGCGAACATTTGGATCAGCAGCCCTTGTGTATTCTCATTAGAGTTTTAATCAATTATAAATTTATCACAAACTTACTATATTGCCCGTTCTAAACTGCACGGATGGCGCAGTAGTTTAAACGGTCGCCTCACCGCTTCCCACTTCGCTGAGGGTTATAGGTTTGATTTCCACATGGGACAACACTTTGTGTCATCCACAAATTGTTGTTCTGAGTCTGGGTATTGTTTTTGGCCGTTTTATGTATGTGTGTACAGATCCCCTTGAGACAGGATATATTCCTACGAGTAGTGCGGGAGTTATCTTTAAAAAAACAGAATCTATTGCGTAACCGTATATGAGTAAAACCTACAAAAGATCACAAGAATAAAGATATCCAAAGATTTTACCAATGATGGACCTTGATGAATGGCGATCATGTCTGCAATGCTCCATATCATATATTCTTGCATAATTTAGTAGATGACACTGCATGGACCCGCATTCCTCTTGTATCCAGCTAGCCCGTACTTAGATAAGGCTCAAACATTATCTAACCACAATTGCATAACTTAGGACTTTATTTATCTAATTTAGGACCTAACTACTCAAGAGGGCTGAAGCTTTATACTTTAATATAATGTTTAATATAAGTCTAAGTTACGTCAACTATCGGCAATAGTAACATTTCTTATTATAGAGGAAAAGACTGTGATATTTCTTTTAAATGTGTTGAAAAGAAAGGAAGAACAGACTTGCGAGATGTAGAATCTCTAGTTGTAAAGTAGTTCGATGTTAATAACATAACATTGTGTTATCAAGTTTTTAGAGAATAAAACTGTAAAACCTGTAATTTCACTCAGTACTATAAGTTGTTAAATATTTTAGCATTAGTATAGTATTATATTTAAAGTTACCCGAAATGACATTACAAATTCTAAAAGTTATAGGTAGTAGTATATACTCGATTCATAAATCTAAACTTAAAGTATAAAAACTCTGAAAACTGTATACTGTGTACATTTATGTGAGTTTCTTGCTACCACCATAACTAAAAATAATCATCCTACCATTATCCAAATTTTATTTTAGGTCGGCGCAGTAAGTATGATTCTTCCATTTTACTCTGTCATTCGTCATCTCACTGTTTACTAGCCTAGCCATATTCTCACTCACACAGTCCATCCACCTTTTCTTTGGTCTTCCTCTTTTCTTGTACCCTTCAACTTCCATACCTAACACTTTCTTCGCCTCCGCATGACATGTCCATACCAAGATAACCATTAACCTATTACTTCTTAACTTTTCATCTAGTGGCACTACACTGGCATAACTAAAAATAATTTAGGTAGTAGTTAGGTAGTAGGTCTTCTTTATAGTCGTTAAAAATACTCTTCATAATGTAACGTTATCACGAAATGAAAGCCTTTGATAGTGACGTGGGCTAATTTTATTGTAATGACTTAATGAGACCACCTGTTGAGGCCGCCACAGGCCGTTGTTATGTAACAAAACGTCCGGTTTGATCCGGTTACGGCAAGTTGATTTACCAACCTTCGTTGTTGATGTTGCTGTTGCTGATCAACAACATTTTGTTTCGAGAACTTTGTTTATTGTTGTTTGCTGAAATTTGACTTCCGTTGGATAATCATGGGTAGGCATAAAGACGTAACAGTGAATTACTATTTAAGTTTTGTGCGAGAGAGAGAAAGAAAACTTTGACAACAATATAAACGGGTATGTACACCTTTGTGTGATGTGTGGAGACCTACACATGCAGAGTTTCTATTCA